TTGGAGAAGAGCTAATCAACATGCATGGATCGTTTATTCTTGGCTGTATACTGTCTCTCCCTTTCTCTCTTACTTTATTCACATGTACACGTACCTTTCTGTCCAGGTACATATTTTATGTTAAAACTTGATCATATTTGCTTGTTCTAACTTGTAAAGCTAATTGTTTTGTAGTTACATGTCACTAATTTGATGATTTTGAGAATTTGCAGGCATTTTAAGAGCCACTGACAATCATAACTGGATTCCTTGTTTTTCTATAAAGGGATATAAAAATAGTAAATTTTTATTACTTCTGAATTTTTAATTGAACTGCAGAAATCTAGATGACATGCTAGGAAATATATGTGATACATGTGATACAGAATAGGGTTTTTTTTGCTGTTTGCTTGCATGTTTAAATTTCAGAAGCAAATCTTGAAAGTTTTTTTGATTTCTGAAAAGCATCCAGTGCTGACAGTTTTATAAGTTTTAATTTGCATTGTTTAAGACTAAGTTTGCAAGCAAACTGGAAATACCAAATGCTTGTCATGATGAGCTTGGTGTATAAAGGAGCTCTATATTCCAGGGCAGATTGCTGTGCCTTCTGCAATTTGTGGTGTTCTCAAGTTTTAGGGGAGACGGTGCATTAACAAAAAACATGAGTAGAATCCACGTGGTTGTTTGTGAGGAACAGGTAACTCAAAATATTTTGTTCCGTTTTCAGAAGTGGTGCCAGTATGAGGTCTGCATTATGTCCTAAATAGGTATGGCCATTTGGTGTTGTGGAGGAAACAAAAAAAAGTCATAACTGTGCTGGTAACTACTCAGGTGCTTGCCCACTGTAATTCAGTAACATTCCCTCACCTTTTATTTCTGTCTGAAGCATTGTGTGTTTGCTTATGTTATACAGACAACCAACTGCACAAGTTTTGGGGGCATGGATTGTTTGTTTTTGTCTGTGATTGTTTCTTTTAGAAGTTTAGGTTCTTCACTCTGTACTGCATTCTAATGCTGAATTTTTATAACTGTTGCCTTCAGTGAAATCTGTGGACGTGAATCAATGAAATGTAGATAACAAGATTATATATTACTCCTGAGTTAACATGCTTGTAGTTTATTGACATGATTCAGAAGGTACTTAAAGTCAGTTTCTTACAGATTAATTTATATTGGCTAGGGATTTACCCATCAGTTAACCCCAGAAAGTTCAGTTCTGCCTTCATGTTTGCTTAATGATAGGTGTTTGCTTAAGGTACTTAGTTGTATACCAATGCTATGCAATAGCAGAACTCACAGTGGCACGTACTGTAGTTATGCCAGTATGTTAGTAAAGTTCTGAGTATAATTGCAGACTAAGAGCCAGAGATAATTCTGAGGAACCATCTGTTGATCAGGGAGAAACTGAATAAAGTAAAGACAAACAGAAGCAAAGAAGTTTCATGAAAGGAAAGAGTCTCAAAGAAGGAAAATAAGCTTTGGTTTCTTATTGTTCGAATTTTGAAAAAGTGAAGCTTACACATTCAGTGTTACTGGGAAGCAGGTTTATTAAAGGTAACTTAAGAATGTGAATTAAGTAAAAAAGAATAAGATAAAATATTTGAAGGTGTATTTAGTGGAAGTTAACTGACATACTAAGAGTACCTTGATTAAGGTATAACATCCTGTAGATCAGGCATGTCACAGAAGTTACAGGCATCAATGGAAAGGATTTGAAGGTCACTTTTCCCATATTAATGAATGAGATTAGGAAAAGCTTAACAACAAAATCTAGCGACCTAATTTTATGAGCTGCAAATTTGAGCTGAGGGCTGCTATTGGTGCAAATACTGTTTTTTGCTAGCTGTTGTCTGTGCACCCCTTGTGTGATGCATATCATCTGATGAATATTTGCATCTGTCCTGTCAGTCTTGTATTCATTCTTCGTAAAATGATGATCATCATATAGGGCCACACAGTATCTCTACAGATTCTTGTTACCGCAAAAAGGCTCTGTTGTGAACGTGCTAAGATGCTGCTATTGCTTCTTACTCTGGGGGATGATGATGGTCTTTGGAAAAAATTTCGCCCTTGCTAAAAACGGAAGAGAAATATTTAAAACCTGACTACAGGAATAATGTGCCATAAAAATGGCAGCACCTGGAGTTAGTGCATCTTACAGAATTTTGTTCTTAGTTGGTATTTAATTGTCTCAAATCACACACAAGTGCTGATTTACTGTTTTTTCTTATATCCAAAATGCCATAGATGGAAGCGAGAGCATTTTCCATGCTTGGGTTTTGGTTAATTTGAAGAAAGGCAAGTTGTATTCTGGATAATTTCAGTCGTTAACCAGAAAAGTAATGAATTTCCAAATATTGCAGAAAATTAGCTTTGAATTTTGTGAAGCATAAGTTCCTTCCAAATTTGTGGGAGGTGTTTCTTAGTGGTGGGTGCAAATGCCTCAAGAGTCTTAAATTACTTTCATTACTGTTAATGCTCCCCCTCCCCACTTTGGGTTGTAAAGTGTTAAAAAACAGTGACCAATGTTTTCTGAAGATTTTGTTATGGGTGCCAGGATTGTTTCTAAGCCACTATCAGAACAATTTTGATCAGTAGATTAGTAATTTCTGTGTGCTTTAGAGTATTTGTAAGCAAAGTGACCTTACTCCAGATTCAGCCCTATTCGTGTTGTTCATCTTTCCTCTAGGGATTTGTTTCAAGGATGAAGATGCCTCTCTCAACCATGAGATTTGCAGAATTAACTTGACTTTGTCGTGGTTTTAGTTTGGTGTTTTTTTGTTTTGTTTTTTTTATACAAAGAAAACAATGCAAAATCTTCCAGTTCAGAAAAATAAATGTAGCTTAAAAAAGAATTTAATGCAAGATGTTTGCTCTTCAGTTGTAGCGGCTTAGAATTAAGTATCTAATCACTTAAAATCGCTAAGTAGCAGGAAAAAAAGGTGTTGTTTTATAAGTAGTAGCATTTCTCTTTTAGACAATGAATTCAGCAAATACAGCAGTATGCTGTTTTCTTTTTCGTGTTTCCTTTATTATATTAAACTTCCATTAAATGTAATTAGAAATGTAATCAAGCTTTCCTTTAGAACTCTCACTTTATAATTATGAGGATGCCAGTGTTTATAAACTTGACTACATTTTTAAGAGTAGAATGAGTAGATTCTTTGCTTTAATTGCTATAAAATGTAGGACCCCTGCTGTTTCATTTCTATTAAATGATGCCAATTTTCCGGTAAGGGTAAGTTTGTCTAACTGATAAGTAGTTACCATGTAAGAAGAGTTGGTAATTTCCTGGCTTCCTAAATACAGGTTGCCTCATACCTTACATCATTAAATAGCAGAGCTGCTCAGGTGAAGAACTTAGCTCTCAGAGTTGGTTCAACTGACTAACTTCTTTTCACTAAATACAGGGAAATGTGTTGAAGAACATTATGAATGTTGAAAAAAATAGGGAGCAGGAACTGAGCTGACAAGTGCACTTCTCATAAGAGCCTAACAAATCAGGAGAAAGGGAACTATAATGAGACACAAGTCGAAAGTACCAATCTCTTCAGAAGTCCTCTGTATGTTTATGATGTTCTCTTTGTCTATAATCTTATACTGAAGTGAGCAATTTGTTTGACCACTTTTTCAAATAGCTGGCTCCAAAAGCAGTGTCATTTTTCATCATTTTATCTAGCAGGACCTTTGGGTTTCTTGATTTGAAGCTAAGTGAAAAAGCGGGGCTAGCAGATAACAGAGGTTTCCTCTATGTTCTTTGTTAGAAGCTGCTCATGGGAGGATAAAGACAAAGAGAACTTTTCCCTCCTTTAATTCATTCAAAGACATGACAGTTTTTCATGCTTTGTGGTTGCAAATAATTTCCTGGTATCTCCTGTGATACTGTAAAATTCACGTTGAGCTAATGAGCTTAAGGATGAAGAGGTCTCTTCCTCTATCTTCACTTCAGACCAGCTGAATTAACTAATAAAAGTGTTTGCAGTGAGCTGCACTGTTCAAAGTAGTGTACTAACAGCATGATAGACTGGGTGCTTGGGAAGTCTGAGAGAGAGAGCGGGTTACTTCAAGGTCAGTGAAGCCCTGCTCTTCAAACACTTAGGAATTTGTAGCATCTCTATTGTAATTCCTTTAATTGTAATTAGTTCTTTACAGTTAACTGTATTTTCCCAAGTTTTCATGTGTTCAGAAGAATCTGGTACCTAAACAATATAATATTTTTTTTGAGTTTTTGGAAAAGGCATCAAGTAAATCTTGACATGCTTATGTGTCATTTTTTAGTTTTTGACAGTTGCTTGGCACTTGCAAAATTATGACAAGAAGTATGAACCCTGTGTGCAGGGAATGAAGCAGTAACAAACCGACTTTTTGCAATTAGTGGCTTCACATTATCAGCCAAAACCTGCTAGTGCAGAGGATCACTGGGTTATACCATTACAAGCTCTTAGTAGGGCTGAAGGCTCACAGAATCAACAGGGAGAATGAATGTGAACTTCAGGTATAAAATTGTTCAAATGATGCGTGAGTTGTCAGACATGGCTTGCTGCTGCATATTATTACATCAGTTCTTCTACCCTGATAACTGGTTAAAATAAATACTTCTATTTTAAAGGAATATTATATAATATATTATATTTAGAAGGAAGCTTCTCCATTTGGTATTTAACGGGTGGCATCTGTTGCCAGTGCTGAGTTTACTTCTTACTTAGAAGAATTGCTTTAGAGACCAAGTAATTAGGAGATTTTTATTCATACAAATTTTAATTTATTCTATAATGAGAAATCTTGTACAGTTTGTGAATGCTCACAGTTGCCTTACTAAGTTGTTCTTAGATACTTGTTCAGCCTTCAAGGTCTATGACTGTAAAACAGTATTTTGGTACTCCGAGCTTATGCAGTACCCACAGAGCTTCTATTTGTTCTTAGTAAACATAAGTTTGTGTCTGTTTGTTTGTTTTTTTTTTTTTTAACTTGTAGATTTCAGAGTGTCCTAATGGAAAGTGTTTTTTTTTGTCCTTCTGCAGGGAAGGAAAAAAAGGCACAAACTTAGACTTGGGCAGCACCACAGAACAGGTCCCTAGCAGAGCCAGCAATACTGCTGAGTCCTCTTCATTATCAAGCCAGTAGACCATCTAGGTGAGTAAGTACTGCTGTTTGATGCCACAAAGATGCAATATGTTGATATATCTTCTCCTGTCCCAAAGGAGTAGCTCTGCTTATAGAGCAATACTTTAATCTATGCAGAGAATCTGTCTTAATTTTTATCATGCTCTGCTGACTAGTTTTTTTTTACTTGTTAGGTTTATGCTTATGTATAGTGGGCTAAGAAAAGGTGAAAAACCTTTGAAATATTGAATGCATTAAAATGGCTAGGTTTGACCACAGTATAATGCTACAAATCAGAGAGACCAAATATTAAAAAAAAATTATTCACCTATGTGCCAAAGGCTTTAAACAATGTTTGCCCCTCTCAAGGCCCTTTATGTCAAATAGTATGCTCTTTCTGTACTTCAAATCCTTGGAAAATATGTTGTTCTGGGTCGTAAAAGCTACTGAGCTGGCTGACACAATTTTCGGTTTAGCAAGAATAATTTGTATTACTCTAGCTAATGCCAGAGCAGGCCAAATATATAAATATTAACAGCACGTATTTTACAATAGCCCCATACAGTAAAGGTACTTAATAATTTGCCAGAACCTAAAGGGGGCTACAGGAAAGCTGGGGAGGGACTTTTCATCAGGGAGTGTAGCGACAGAACAAAGGAGTAATGGCTTTAAGCTAAAAAGGGGTAGATTTAGCTTAGGTATTCTATGAGGGTGGTGAGGCACTGACACCGTTTGCCTAGAGAAGCTATGGCTGCCCCATCCCTGGAAGTGTTCAAGGCCAGGCTGGATGGGATGTTGAGCATCCTGGTCTGGTGGGAGGTGTCCTTGCAGATGGCAGGGGAGTTGGAACTGAACAATCTTTCAGGTCCCTTCCAGCCCAAACCATTCTATGGTTCTACAATTCTATGATCATCTGAGGCAACAAATTAATCCTATTTACTGTGTGCATTATTTCTTTATATTTCCCCATACCTTCTAGAAGTTAGAAAACCTAGAATCATGGAAATATCCTGCTGGCAGTATAGTAATGTGACCTTTCTGTAATTGAACAGGCAGGCAGATTCTGTTATATTAATTTTTTCCTGGTCGTAATAACATGCAATTATCTATATTTGGCATGATTCCATATACATTGTTGTGTTTTTTTTTTAATCTCCCACAGTATTTTTCCACTGAACTAAGCTTCTCTTTCACTGCTAATTAAAGACTTCTGAAGCTTTTATTAACAGGAGTAATTTTATTTCAGTTTTTTAATTCCAGCAGTTTGTGTCCTTCTGGCCTCCCACCCTTTAAGAACATTATTTGTTTGCTAAATGACCATCGTGAGACATAAGATCTGCATTGACATTGATAAAGTAATGTTAGTAGACACAGTACAAGATAAATTATAGAGAGTTGTAGGACACAACTTTTATACTTTTTCACTGGTATGCCTGCATTATCGTTCTTAATGAGAACTCAATGGGGCTGCCAATAAACACTTGCCATTCATAGGTGACTCACCCTGCCACGCTTTTCTGTGTGAGAGTTATTTGTAGATATAAAATTAAACAATGTTTGTGAACTTCAGAAAGTTCAAATTTGACCATGGAAAAAGTTAGTTACAGACCCCACAGATGTACATTCATTGTCTGCTCTTGTCTTTCAATACCAAGAATAGTTAAAACAACCAGTCAGGAAAGAGGCAAATCCTCCGGTATTTACAATGTGTGAGTCAAGGTTGGATCCCTTCACTGAAGATACGCTATGCCTTACACAGAATCTCACAGGTGGGATGCAGAAATTGTTATGCAAGGTTTTATGGTCTGTGTTATGCAGGAGGTCAGAGTAGGCTGGCTCAGTAGTTCTGTCCAGCCTCAGACTGAATGAATCTCTTCTATTTGGCCTGGGATATTGGGAATGGTAATAGGTGATGGCAGGGGGAAGTTAAGTAAAGCTGTTGAGAACAAACAGTTTAAAAGGAAAAAAAAAAAAAAGGAGACCATCTTTTTTTTTTTTTTTTTCCTCCCAGTCTGAACCTGTCTCTTTCAGCAGCACTGGAATTTGTGATTATTAGAGGGGAACTGATACTCTTAAGACAGGTCGTGTGAGGAAAAAGGAAGACAAGGGGAATAACTTCTGTTTGTTCCCCTCAAGAGCGCACACTGATCATTTAGCAGTTGTAATAAAATAAAGGAAAAAAAAATCCATAGATCTCTCTTGCCAATGAGACCCTCAAGACAGTAAAACACAGAAGAGCTAGAACTTCAGGGAAAAGAAAGGGCTGTTCCAAAGTAAATCACTGACATTTGGCGGGGGTGGAATCGTGAGTTTAAGAAAGACAATATAAACAAAATTGAGGAAAAAGAGAAGATGATAGGTGAATGCCTTCTCCTAATAGACCTTGGGAAATATGCCTAGCTGTTCCAATATACCAGAGAGAATTCATTCATTCAGCTTTTAGCTCTGCAAGTTCCTTTAGGGTAATATGAATAGAAATGATAACCCAATTTTAATAAAATAGAATGGAAAAGACAAAAGGGTGACATTTTTAGGAAGATAATAGAGATAAAGACCAATGTTTATTTTACATTAATTTCATTTTAGTGCAGGTTTTTGCAGTCTATCCAATATATTCCCTGCACAGTGCTCATGTTTCAACTTTAAATTATCCTGGAGGAATGGAGCATATTGATGGCAAGCTTCCAGTGGTGTAAACAAATAACTCAGGAACAGCGTTTGTCATGTAGCCAGGAAATGTGGCACATGGTATTAGAACATAGTTCAGAAGAAGTTAATAATAATAATAACTGAAATCTATCCTTCAGAATTACTCTAGAAGCTTAATGGAGGATAAACGTTATGTATCACAGTAATCAGGCTCCCATTTTGCTGTCAGTTTTTGTATGCAACCATTCAGGTATGGGTGAGAGTAGGTTTGTTGGGATGGAGAAGGGGAAGGGAATCTGAGTTTCAGAAACTATTTTATGTAATTTAAGGTATTTTATTCAAGCTAACTTCAAATAGGTTTTTAATCTGAAGAGAATCTTTGCAAGTAGGACCCTAATTTCAGTAGTACTTCAGCAGTGACACTAAGTCTGTTGTTATGGAGTCACTTATATAACTTAGATAAGTAGATAAATAAAAAATAAAATAAAAGTCAAATCAGCACGTTGAACCCAAAGATAGCCATCTAGCTTGCTATTTGGAATTTATGGTTGTGTACCCTTTCGAAGTTGTGCTTACAGGGCAGTGGATTCCAAAGTCTGATTACCAGTTATCCATACCACTTAATGTTTACACTCTTTATTAATAATTTCTTTTTTTTTTTTTTTTTTTAATGTATAAGTTACATCTAGGCATATGCATCTATGATGTCTTGGGGAGGAAGGAAATTTGTCCAATTCTACTTCTAGTGGTTTTCATCAGCCTGCTTTTGTTTGAATCTGCCTTTGATTTATTTTATACTTAGAGCAAGATACCTGTAAATCTTCATATATCTAAGGTATCTAAGGAAGGTCTTGTTTTCCTTTGCAGCTGTGGCTTGTGACCTAGCTGTATTTCAGAATCTTAAGCTTGTCTGTGGAAGTTAGGTGTTGCAGAGCTGTCATTTTGGGAAGCTAACAGTGATATGTATGTGATCTCTTAAGTCAGCATGACATCACTGATGATTGTTACTGAAAACTAGGTCAGTTTCTGAGAAATCAGAACAACAGGCAACAAGTCAAGGAAAAGGAGGAGAAACTGGGCTTGCAGTTGAAAATTTCACCTTCCTTGTGACCTATCTCCTCACATCTTGGAAACTGTGCCTTCTGTTTCTTTTCCTAGTTAACTGTGGTAGATTCAGTCAGTCATGGTCCCCGGAGCCACTTTCAAATTAACAAAGAGCTGACAGTAACATCTGGAATATGAGGAGAAAAAAAGACTTCTGCTGTACCACCTTGTATAACTTTGTATGTGATACCAGTAGTGAAAAAGAGTAAGTTTTTGAGTGGCAGCTTTTAAGAGCTAAATATGTAACAGCAAATAGCAGTACAAGACTCCAGATTTGCATTCATTAGTATGAGATGCACAAATACATTTTGGACAAAAGCTAGGATAAAGCTCCTTGGGAGGAGGAGGGGGAGTCAGAGTTGATCTTGCAGGTGAAACTTTCTGAGAAAGAAGGGGTTGGGAGTTGGTCCAAATAATCTATTCAGAGGATGCATACAGCAGGAAATTCTACTCACCAAATCCTTGAGTTTCTTTTTGCATTTGTTTGTTGAAAATAGCAGTACAACACATTCTTTACATGCAACTCCCAAATCAGAGCAGAAGACAAACATATCTGAGACTACCTGTGGTGTTTCAAGCTATTCTCATCTCTTCTACTATCGTCCTTCTCCTCGTGAATCCCTGGCTCCTCTTTATTAAAAGGACGCTCCTTCAGACTTTCTTCCTTTTGTACTTACAGACCACGTGCTGTCTCAGCTGCAGGAGGGTGTTAGAAAATCCTTTCTGACAATTGTCAGAAAGACTAGCAACCTCAGAGGATGCCCTTCTGAAATCATTTCACTTTTTAATGAACATTTTGAGTTAAGTCTGTTTGCTTGCCTGGTCCAATAAAGCATAGGATCTTGTGGCTTTGTCTGTTAAAATTCTGGTAGGAGTTCTAGCCTCTGAAGTGGATACAGGGTTTTTTCTTCAGCTATCCTAACTTCTTTATTAGCAGCAGTTTTTGTCACAAAAAGAAGTCAAGCAGTGTAGATCTTATATTCTCATCAAATGACTCTTTGCTGTCTCCTACCACTTTCATGATCTTCACTGCTAATATTCACTCTCTTAACTACTAGGGATCCTTTCAGTCCTCATTCCAGCAGGATTAAGAAGGGGCCTTGGCATCAGATCTCCACATACAGACTGCCATAGTTATTCTTCAGAGCTGCTCCCTTGCCAGACAGCCCCCAGCCTGCACACTCATTGGACATCCCAGCTGAGGGACTTGCATTTGACTTTCCTGAATTTCGTAAGGTTCCTTTCAGCCTGTTGCACTGATTGCTACAAATCATAGA